GGACCGTTCATCCTCCTCCTCGATTGAGCATGGATGTGTTTCATGAGGAAATCTCGCGCTAACAACACCTTCGCATGATCGCCTTTCCGTGCCAGCATGTCCAATAGAGTCACTGAATATGCCAAGGTCATCTCCAGGGCAACGATGTCGTTTGACGCATGACTCCATAAACCTTCCATGATGCCGCATATGCAACTTTCAAGTCGTTCAGCTTGTTCACGATCACCATCGCCAACAGTAAAGCTCACAGCATGCTTGAGAATGTCAGGTCTCTTCATAGCAACATGTTAAGCAGATGGCCACGCGTGAAACAATGTCGAATCACGAACGAACAAATGGTCAATGTCAAAGGCATGACGAGTCTCCGAGCATCCACTTTCATCCTTTGCGTATGTCGCAAGAACATGGTCAGCAACTCGTACTAGCAGATGATTGATCTTGTCATGAATGACGCATTCCTTGATGGTGTGCACATGAGATCACCCTGGTCCATCTTTCTCAATTCCATTCTTTTCACATACTGCAACCCATTCTCCACTAGTAGCAGCGGGGATACTAGAGTCCGAAGAGGCAAGGCAGCACTCTTCCGTGGACGTACTACTCGACACAACACCACTCATACTTGTTCAGTAGAAGTTTTTTTTTAATGAGTATCATGAGATATTGCCGTAAAAAGTAGTATAGGATAGTATAGGATAGAATAAGAATGAATGATCAGCTGTGTGGTAAAGAAGGCAGTTCATTAAAGACTTATTGGAAGGTCTCTACCAGCTGATCGTCTTGTTGGACGACGTCACTTCATAATGATGTGAAGCTCTCAGTCAGCTGTTTCAGTTCCGTGATAGAAAGTGTTATGTGTGCGTCCAGAGCACGATGAAAACATCTGGGTTCCACGTTAATGCAGATGATTGGAGCAAGACGTACCTTCATCACTTGCTCGTCAGTGTCGAGGGAGACTGCCCCGGGGTAGATGAGTACATCTTGTTCCACATCCAGTTCGATCGAGCTGGTCGGGACTAGCTTGTTTTCAATGTTGATGTACACCCGACATTGACCGTCAGACGAACGTGATGTGTAGAAGTTGGTCTCGATCTTCTCCACACGTCCACTTCAGAGAGTGTCACGGAGCGATGGACAAGTCTTGATCAAGTTCGTCATGATGAACTCATTGGACTCGTTCAGTTCGATGTAAACTTGTCCTTGAGCATCTTTGCGGGCTGTTGCCATACTACCACAGGCTGGCAGAGCTTCCGAAGGGAAGTACATCTTATAACCAGGTTTGTAGAAGGATTCACCCGATAACTTGTAGGACAGCTGCATATCCTCCTGAAACCCATCCACCACAATTTCTTTGTGGAGCTTGGGTAGGAGCAGGTAATACATAGCGACGCTTAGCCGGTACTGGCTTCGAAGAGAGCACAACTCGAGGAGGGTCAGCAGGAAGAGCGGAATTCTTCTTCACCTGTCGCTCGTATAGGGAAGCCATCTTCTAGGAAGTGAAGTCAGGACAACTCACGATGAACGAATGACTCAACTGCAGGACAATCATTCGTATTTATACGAGTCAGAGAGGGAGGTGGATTGAAATGATAAGATATGTGTTAACCAATCAGCATCAAGCCCGCCCAAAACATTTGACCAATCAGCATCAAGCCCGCCAAAAACTTTTCACCAATCAGCATCAAGCGCGCCAAAAACATTTGATCAATCAGCATCGTGCCCGCCAAAATGATATCTCATTATAAAGATTCCTTACATGCTACCTCCACCTTAGTGAATTGATACAGTATGGAAAGAAGATCACAGTCAAACGTGTGCATGTTCTGGATCACGTGATCAAGTGAATAGGTTTCCCAGCAATAAGCATCAATCAATGATGTCATAAGGGATATATCAGATGGAGATAAAAGCAGCAAATTCAAACGCAACGTGGACAATTGCAATGAATACACCATCCTAGTCGACTCCATGAGATGCAGTATGTATAGGAGTGGAAAATGCTGGGAAAGAGGTTTCATGATTCGACTGAACCTCAACGAGGATACATTGCTATGAGGCAAGTAGGAATGCAGTTTATGTCATGCATCCACATTCGTATCGTATACTAAACATGATAATGCTATAGCATAGTTTATACTCTTGTACAAACAGGACTTCTTCATCGCACGTATTTGCTCTCGAAGAGGGTGTACACGAAGCTGATCGGATAAGAGTTCAGTTTTCGAAAGAAAAGGCAAAAGATGACGATCCACACCACATAACCGCATATGTGCAGCGTAAGGCTTCTTCATCAAACTACATCTCTGATGCACATCAACTTCAGGTAAGTAAACCACATCCATGACAAGTCCACAAGAAGAACATACGTATCTTCCTTCATGAACAACATTATCGAGATGATGACACTGTTTTCCCTCCCCTTCTTGATCTTCTTCTTCTCCTTCTTGTTGTTGTTCTTCTTCTTCTTCTTCTTCTTCTTCTTCTTCTTCTTCTTCTTCTTCTTCTTCTTCTTCTTCTTCTTCTTCTTCTTCTTCTTCTTCTTCTTCTTCTTCTTCTTCTTCTTCTTCTTCTTCTTCTTCTTCTATCTCTTCGAATTGCATTATATGAGTTTCTTTTTCCTTTTTTCTTTACCCGTTACTGTCTAAAAAGCAGTCAAAACGGTTTTTATCCACCATTTGATGGTGAGCATTTCCCTTCTTCTTCTTCTTCTTCTTATTCTTCTTCTTCAGCAGAAACGCAGAGTAAACAGAAGAGAATTGATTACATAACTTTCTGCAAGGCAGGAGAGAATCTCCCCAAACAGCCCCCCTCCCAACGCAAACGGCTAAATGACCAATTCGTAACTAGCTCAGCAGACTGGCAGGTCCTGGTGGACATGAAGGATGAGAAACTTGTTTTCCCCCACTTCATAGCACCTACAACCTGTCGTCCAGACATAGTGCTCTTCTCCAAAGAATTGAGAAGAGTTCTGTGGCTGGAACTCACGGTATGTAGTGAAGATCGCTTTGCACAATCGCGCGAAATCAAAATCGAACGCTATCGTCACCTTCATAGCGCGTGTGTAAGGAATGGCTGGGATACGGAAAGTCACACAGCAGAGGTGGGAGCGAGAGGCGCCATATCCACCAGCTTGGATTCCTTCGCGAGATCCTTGCGCTGCACTAAGGAACAGCGCAGGCTCTTGCGGAGGAATTGTCGCCAAGCAGCGCTGAACTCAAGCTATGTCCTATGGCTAAGGCGAAGGGAGCGAACATGGCGCGACTGGCCGTTGTATTAAAACTGTTTGGTGAACCTGTTGTAGAGCACTTGGTGGGCGATCGGCCACCCAGCGAGGATAGTTGGACGTCCTTAAAATCAAGATTTGAACTCGCCATTCCGGCCTCTAAAGGGCCGGGGGTGGACGATCGCCAACCTTGCCAACCTCTCGTAGTCACTTGTTCTTGTCGAATCGTTATTTTCATAGCCTACTCGACATTCGCCCTACAAATTACCATACATCACAACCCAACTACCTGTACATGACACACCATACCATACAACCACACCCCAACTGTACTGGGGACCTATTTCTTCGAATTGCATTATATGAGTTTCTTTTTCCTTTTTTCTTTACCCGTTACTGTCTAAAAAGCAGTCGAAACGGTTTTTATCCACCATTTGATGGTGAGTTTTCCCTTCTTCTTCTTCACAAAGTCTCTTTTCACGTGCATAAGCACGAAAGATCTCAAATTCAGAATCCACCTTCACCCCACATCACCATCTCCATAATGAAACATTATCCAACAATGCATCTACTTCTTATACCCACTCCCATCCGGGGCAAGGTGGGGTACAATCCACCCTTCACCCGAAATATCATGTTTTACGTAAAAACCGGGCGCCCGTTTTTTACCCCAAAAATGGGGTACTATCAATAGTACCCCATTTTTCGGGCTGGACCATGTACCTCTCACAGAACCGGCTTTATACATACTACTGAGATCTATCTGAAACAGAAAACTCTCAGCTGTCGTCTTGAAGAAACCCCAACGAACGCGACCCTAGGTCCTGGAGTCGGGCTATATCTCAAGCTGTATTATGAGCTTGTAAAATGCACTTCAGCTGGGGATTTGCCCATTTTTGCGCATCCCTAGCCAGCCAGGTGCTATGACCAAATCATGCTACCGGCATCCAGAGGTCTTTGCAAAATCCCAGTGCTCTACGATAAAATTTGAGGGAATTGCATTGCGATGTGTATTTCGCTAGCAATTGACATGATGCTTCGCTCACTGTACATTTACGTTGATGCTTGTCATGTCTACAGGAAATGTATTACTTATGGATAGAGCCTAACAGAAAGTCCGAGATTGTGAAAATCGATCTACAAGTTATTAGTGGAGTTATTCAACTTATCGTGGGAGAAGTATGTGCAAGAAAGCCGATTTCGCATTTTCTGAGATCAGTTCTAGTCCTTAACGATTGGGAAGAGAAAAGGTGGCCACGATGGCCCTCCTCATGGCACGAAGCTCCGCGCTGTGCGTGCCACCATTTTTGACAAGTGGACTGCTGAGCGCCACAAGGACCTTTTGACAGGGAGTATGAGAGATGCAAAGATGATCGCGCAGGGGTGATGTGGTTAGGTGCAAGGTTTGTGTGCAGTTTCCAGGAAAATTTTGTTCGTTCATATCGTTCGGTCGAGAATTTAAAAAATGTTGCCTTTCAGCGACATGTGAGGCAAAATTGCAAATCCGGGAAGTGTCAGGACATTACGTCAGTACGACCCTTATCACATGGCCTGGAACACAAAACGTGCACATGCGCTTGGTTACAAGCCGGGGGAGAGGGGGGGGGGGGGGGCACAATCCAAGGGAGGGCTATATATTTTTTCACATGCTCATAGAGACTGGGGCACTCTTCAACATAGAGCACTATCCAAGAGAGTGCTCTAATCGCGAAAGTACGGTAATCCTTCTTTTCTGCTCCTACACAAACAAGCATGCACCGGGGATATCCTGACTTACCGAATCTTTCGCTTCCAATGGATGTCCAGCATTCAACAGACATTCTAGTACGGACACATGACCTCTGTATGCTGCAAAGTGGAATGGTGTCCTACCATACTGGAAGTAGCATTGTTAATGAATACAAACCATGTACACACAAACACACACAAACACATACATGCATACATGCATACACAGTCATGCAGATTCATACACATGCACACATACACGCATGTGCGCGTGCATGCACACACACACACACACACACACACACACACACACACACACACACACACACACACACACACACACACACACATACATACACACACATATACATACACAAACACATACATATCTCATAAGTTCGCTAATGCATTTCAAAACGTGGGTGAGGGGGGGGGGGGGGTTCCGCCCTTTTCGACTAGAAAAATGACAGTTCGCACATTTTCTGGAAGTGTACAACACTGTGCTGTGCATGTGCTAGATCGCTTCAGATGACTGTGTTTACATGGTTTAGGTGCGGATCTACCTGTCTTTGCAGATCAGCTAACCCTTGCACTGTATGCATGCATGCAGGCTACTCAGAGGTGTCAAATGTCACACCAGCCTGATCAAACGGTGTACCTGGCCAGCTTTTTATACAGCAGTACATTGACATTGTACACTGTACATGCACAGCTGTTATGGAGGGGGAAATTGGAGGAACTACATGTACGTTTATGTGTGTGTACATGACCATTGATGACTACACGTCATTGATTGTTCTTGTACTCAGTAATGAATAGTAATAGGTTGTTCATTTGACCGGACGAGACCACACAACGCTTGCAGATCACAGCACGAACAGTTCATCAGCTACACTCCACGAAAGCAAGTAGTAGTACTCCTGACAAGTCTTGTTTCGTTCCATAGAGATAATAACGGGGAACTTATCAGAGGAGAAGCAGTTGTTGAATGAAGGGATTTAGCTGAATAATGCTATTTTATAGAAAAGATATTGGCGCACTGAGGTGTAAACACTCAACCAGCTCACATATATGACATATCAATACAAAAGGGAATAGTGCAGAATGGAGGTGTTCTGAACCCTACCAGACACAACTATCACAAGTGCTAAATCATTCACACTGAGAAGGAGAGGTACACAGGAATAGGTTGCGCTAGCTTACATGTCACAAATGGTACTGAGGTAGTGACAAAGATAGGTGAAAAGTAGACGCCAAGTGAAAGCCAACAAATCATGACGGACGTCTAACGTCGCATCTGAAGATATCTGATGATTTTTTTCAGTAATGAATGTAACTTCTGGATGCACTACAGTACTTCACTAGCAAAACATTCATATCCATGTACATACCCAATGCTGTACACATGTACATACCCAATGCTGTACACATGTACATACCCAATGCTGTACACATGTACATACCCAATGCTGTACACATGTACATACCATAGCATGAGGCATGAACACAGGTACAGTAGATCTACACAGAAAATGTGCGATAAGACCTTCAAATAGAGGGGGGGGGGGGAGGTAGGGGGGGGGGGGTAAAGTCTATTCGAAATGCGTTACGTTTGCAAACATAATGCGAACTTATGAGATGCTCCCTTAGTTAGTAAAGGCAACACCGGCACTGGCATAGAGAGTTCTGCATCCTTATGGATGAAGAATTCATAGGGAATCGATGCCTTCTACAGTGAAACCTGTGACTAACAACCACCTCTTGGGGCCAGAGAAAGTGGTCTTTAGTGGCAGGTGGTCCTTAGTTACAGGTTTGCACCACCCAACCATGTATGAATGTTAGTGCCTGGCTAAGTGGTCTTTAGTACCAGGCTTGTCGCTAGTCACGATGGTCTTTAGTTACAGGTTTTACTGTACTTAGCATCTGAGATGGGTTGGTCTTCAATTAAGTTGGTTATGGGCTTCGAGCAGTATCAGCTCCAGTGCCGGTTCAGGCAGGTCAGCGAAACTGAGGGGGGGGGGGGGGCTGTGGGGGGGGGGGGGGGAGGCGGGTTACTTGGACCCGTTTGAAAAAAGAACTATTAACGAGAGAGCTTGGAAGCTCAGGGCCATACACTATGCTTTTTTTGCCTAGCTCATCATGCATGTTATTGGAACTGATGGAAATGTTTTTTCCATTAATTGGTTACATCATTGTTTTGCACAAACGATACAATCAGTTTGAATATAAGTCAGGCAAAAGTGATTGCAGAATTTAACGGGTTATATAAACTTTCTCTTTGCATTCGAGGGTAATACGACACCGTCTACCACCTTGCTGACCTAGGCAATAACGCATAGAGATGTTATGTAAAGATGCTGTGTATAGACATGTTATGTATTTTGTATTTTTTTTTCAAGACATAACCAAGGATTCGAACCCTCATTACCGCCCGGTGTGCATTACCCCGATACACTTCGCTTACATACTCATTCTTCCAAGTTGCTTCACGTTATGATCTTGCATTTGAAAGCCCGATTTGAATATTGTGGCCAGCTGTCTTGGATCAAGGGCGTCACACACGGCACGACCACAACGACCATGGTCGTACCACTTTTCGTCCAGGATAGTCCGCCCAATTCATCGAAAAAAGCAATAAAAAATTCAAGGATCTTCAGACTTGTACAAAACATCGCAACAAATTACTTTCATTGCAAGGAGGAGCATACAAGCTTGATGCCTAGCACTAGCAGTTAGTTATTGCCCAAGACTCCAGGCGGCTATCCACTACGATAGGCGGTTGGAGTCACGGGTAGGACCAACCACACGATGGATTCCTCACGGACGCATTCACTGAAAACTTGACAGAAACAGAGCTGAGCTGGCGGCGATCACTGGGTCCAGATCTAAAAATTTCCAAGATCTACCGTGTTAAAATGGTGATCAGCACGGTCAAGAGACACTACATGTATGTCACTTGTCAGCTACAACATAATTATATTCTTTCCACAATGACACCTACCTAGTACCTCTGGCTCCTGACGATCTACTGCAAGCTGATGCGAAAATGCATTACACCCACGAAAGCCGCGCTTGTCAATGGAAAAGGGAAACGCTTCATTCTCCGAACTAGAAAAGTGTTTGGATTGCTGCTCCATGGCGGTAAAATATTCTGCAGCTGTTCACCGACACGACCCGCTTCACCCAACGATTTACGATCGTTTCGTTCTCCGAGTTTCTTGGTAGCAGCAGCAAGAATTGTGTCCGCGACGACAGGACGAAAGTCTCTCGCCAACTAAAGTCCTGTTGCCACGACGACAGAGAAGATTCCGCAAGCCCTTTCTTCTGCTTCCAGTGTTGTAGCTCTCTGGTCCACTGGCAGATCTTTCAATCCCACCGAATAAAAAAGGATCTTCTTCTCTCTCTGAAAACAACCAAAATATTATTTCGCGACTGTCCAGGCCGGCCGTGTACATAGTGCATGCCACGCTGCGGACTTTTGCAGAACATAACATACGTTTTTGCACAGCGGCTGGTGCTAGAACGGGCAGCACGCTTGTACTTCGGATATTGCGATTTTTTCGAGGGCAATGGGTTCCTTTTGCCTTGCTTGGCTACCTACAATGTACAGAAAATACCAAAAATACATGAGAAGAATGTTTTTGGAGCTGCAGTGGGGTTGTCTAATAAGTGCTAGGGGAACCCTCCTTTGCGGCTGTAGAGTACTAAAACGTGCCCTGTTAGCCGAAAAATCCTTATTTTTTCTCAGGGGACACCCCCAACCCCGTCATACCACTCACAGCCGCCCTGTGACGCCCCAGTTGATGGTACGGTACGGAACAGGCACGGGATAGCGCCAGGTATATTTTCCGTTTGCCCTTCTAGGCTTCTTCTGCGACAGCTCGATCGCCTTTCATCTCTGGTGCGGGTGTAATCTAGTGACTTCACACATGCGTTATAATAGACGAATCCTTTTTTCTGGGTGCGCGTGCAAGTCAGCTCGTGTGAAGTGCATGTTTTTGTATTTAGTTGGTATGTGGCAGCGTATGGGACAGAGAGACTTTTGATCCCCGAGCTTGTCAGTGTAAATAGTGTTTTACGTCCACCATGACGGCTACAATTCCTAACCATACCACGACGAAATTGATCGGCTACATCATTGTACTGCAAAACGTTCCATCTGTTCGAATAGCATGCATGATGAGCTAGGCAAAAAAAGCATACGGTAGAACCCTGAGCGAAAGAAATAAACTTTCTCTTTGCATTCGAGGGTAATACGACGCCGTCTACCACCTTGATGACCTAGGCAAAAAAAGCATAGGGATGTTATACATTTTTCATTTCTCTTATTTTTTTTAAGAACATGACCTGGGATTCGAAACCGCACTATCGCCCTGCATCCATTCCCCCCGATACACTGCGCATACCTACTCATTCTTCCAAGTTGATTCACATTACGATCTTGCATTTGATAGCCCTGTTTGAATATTGTGGCCAACTTTCTTTGATGGTACGGTACGGGACAGGCACGGGATAGCGCCAGGCATGCCGATGGCACAAATACACAAAAAGGGAATTGAAGCTGTGTGGACCCTGGCTAGCGCCAGACGTTACTGAAGTAACGTCTTTTGCATAGCTACGGGTGTGGCGGCCCCGTGGCCATGGTAGACAAGATTTCCTTCGAACCATTACTTGTTCTTGTTCTTTACAAAGAGGAATAAAACTGAATCTCAAAGAGTTCTGAAAGGCAAAGCGCGACACGCGTACATGTAGCCTCAAGCAGAACAGCTCGCAGCACAAAAGGAAACATGCAGCCAAAAAGATGCCTAGCTCTGGTGTACATCGTAGAGGTCACTGCGCATCCGGTGCACTGCGCCCCAAAGGTGCAGGCACGGCGCCCCAAGGAGTGACGACATCCATAAACTGCATCACGTCATGCAGATAGAGCGATAGCGTACAAAGTACAAACAAAACAAAAATAACTGAGAGAAGCGAAAATGAATAAATTGAAGAGAAGAAGCGAGAGAGAAGAGAGAAGGAATTTAATTCTAATTACTTAGAGCTGGACAGGTATTATCAAGGAGACATGCAGATACACAATAGAATCGACTCGACTGCATGTAGAGTAGCTGCCTCTAACTGCAGCAGAGTGGAGCACGCACGTACGTG